TCGACATCTTATGAAACTTCGCGCGACCACAGTAATAAACATGTTTGCTTACTCCAAATGTTTTTCAGGTGAAATGAATCAATAGAAAACTCCTTCATAATAAAGCAACTTCACAGTTTCTACACTAACCGTAGAATGCCCGATGTTGCTGCAATAACTGTTTTGTGATTGCCTCGTTTATTTCAGCCCCACTAAATGGCTCCACCTACCCAGCCTCTCGTAGGCTCACACGTTTGCAGCTTCGGTGTTCTAGGTCACTTTGGCATTTTAATCCAGCTGAAACAATGTGATAACTACTGGCGCTCGCATTTCCACTTATTTTCACTCGATGGCTGGAGCATCTGCAATCTGGATATCGCGAGTCCCTACAAAGGCATTTGAGAGAGATGAAGCCGCAAACGTAAAGACTTTCCGGCGGGTTGTTTACGTTTCATATTGAATCGTGCGTGCGGATACTCCATATGGTATCCGGTAACATTGTAACGTAAAAAAGTATTCGTATAAGCCGAAAACCCCTAACTGCGCGAGCTCGTTGCGCACCCGATATCATGCCTAAAGCTTAGCACCTCTCCCACTCAGCCACATTTGCGCAGCAGGTGTTGTACACCTCTACAGTCGATATTCTCCTGAAAGGGGAGTGCAAGCACGATGCTAGAACAAAAAAAAACTTCGAAGAAAAACGAGGTAAGCAGTTCAGCTTGCTTCGCAAAAGTGGAAGCTAAGCTAGCTGCGTCACAGCTAAGTCATGATGGGTGATGCTGCTGTGGTACGGAGGACACATGACTAACCCTCAGGCTTTTTAGTAGCCAGACCATGTAATTGTTTTTGTTTCTTTTTTGCACGTTGCAAACAGTACGCACTTGTTATTACCAGCATGTACATCTGAAGAATAATCATGTTTTTCTTGCCAACAACGTAGAATATTGATCGATGGCGCGGCTTCGTTTTATGTGCGTTAGAGAATGACGTAATTTTAACGAATTATATAACGAAGTTTACCTGCACGTATCCCATTTTACACGTACGACAATATTGCGGGCTTCGGAAATATATTTCGATATAAGTTGGGTGTTATTCACGTCTATCGTCTGCTTCACATTGTAAACACGATTATCGAACTTCCATGGTTTGACTACGTTTACTTTTCGCAATGCTTGCCCAGCTGGGTGATCTTTTCCAAGTGGTACATGGCATTGTGAGGCGATGAAAGCGCAGCGCGAGAGGTCTGGGCATGCACGTAAGTGAGCGGTAGCATGGGGGAGAGACGGGAGAACGGGTGACCTATACTCTTGAGTTTCAATTTTTCTACCAGAGATGACGCTACCGGTCCAGAGTGGCAGTGCCACTAAGCGTTGCTTTGGTAGCCTATAAGAAACGGTTGTAGCCAAGGGCATGGAAGCCACAAGGATATGTGCGTCTCGGTTGTGGGTAACCACCCCTCGTCAATTCTTGAACCGGCCATAGAGGGGGGTACTTGTACTATAGGCTGGAAAATACAAATGATAGGACACTAGAGGGTGTTACTTGTAGAAAAAAAGGATTGATGTCCCACGTACAGAAGGAGAAAGAGACGGTCGCACGACTACAATCGCGTATTTTTCGGTGGCGCCGTAGGCGAGAGGGCGCTCTATATTACAATAAAAGCGCTGTTTTGGCGCGCTCGCCTATTGAGAGGCTCGGCGACAGGAGATCTACAAGGTTGCTGAGCGGCGTGCGCCCGGTGCGTCGGTGGTCCGCGCTCGAAGAAGAGACCCTCGACGTGCAGGCACGCAAGGCAAAAGCGCGCCACGAAGCTGCATGGTGGTGCAGCCGCGAGGACCATTCAGTAGGACAAAGGGAGGCCTAAGCGGCGCGGACGACAGGCGAACCCAGCTTCGCCGCACTCACCATCATTCACGCTGTGGATATGCTGTCATTTTTTATCTAATTCTTTCAGTAGCGTTGCAGTTTACGCTCAACAGAAAAATGAGAGAACCCTATACTGCATAGAGTCGAGCTGTAAATATTAAGTTTCGCTGAAACGATGAATCATTGAATACAGTGGTATAAATCTGAGTGCTAATTGCGATTTTATACTATATCTACCACACACTTACTTTAGCATCTGACCTTGCGTACCTAAAAAAAAAAACGCCAGCGTAAGCGAATGTGGACGTGGCTGTAGTGAAGCATCCTTCCTGATGCCTTTGGCTTAAAAGCAAACTCTACAAACAGAATATCGCGCACACAAGATATGAGTAGCAGTGGTTGGCATCAGTTTAGGGCGATCATGACTAGCGCGACTAAATGCCTGCTGCATATGTCATGAAACGGACAGCTACTGCAAGTGTCACTGATACGCGCGAACCACGAAGTGCGCTATGCAAATATGCGCCAGAAACAAAGTCAGTAACGAGTAAATTATGAATCGCATCAATGATACGGACACTCTCAGCTGAATTTTGCCGCCGGTGTCAGTCACTGCATATATATATATATATATATATATATATATATATATATATATATATATATATATATATATATATATATATATATATATATATATATATATATTTATATGACAAAGAAATAAAAAATAATCAAGAATATTATTATGTTTGTACCAATCATATATTTCGTCATCCATTGACGTCACATAACACCAAATTTGGTATACGGGGAGCTAGCAAAACGGCTGCGAGGGCATCATGCAAGGCCCAATATACTACAATGTAGCGTTGAAGCGCGCGCACGCGGGGCAAAGCGACGCTACGTTATCAAAACGCAAGCACTCTATAGTCTGATGCCAGGCGCGACCAGCGTTCGTCGGCGTGGCCCAGCGGCAACTGGAACGAAATGCGACATGCTGCATTTCGCGCCAATGCGTTACCCAGGCAGCACTGCCTCTCCCTAATTTCGTGACGGAGAGACGCCGGATGCGCTGAGACGCGCATGCGTCAAAGCAACCCAGCGTGGCGCGCGTCTGCGAGTATGTGGCAGGACCGGTGCCTGGCGTGGCAACGGAAGCGTGACGTGACGAAAGGAACGCCGGCGAGCACGCGCACCACGTCACATCGAAATGTATTGGCACCCTGACTGCGGCATGTAGTCATGTTCTCACATGACACACATCTCATGATTATCATGTTCGTACCAGTCAAATACCGTCGTCATCCATTGGCATTGCGTAATACCAAGTTTAGTACATGTGAAGCTAAAGAAATGGCCGCCAGCGCATCATGAACGCGGTATATAGTCATGTTATTACGTGGCACGGATTTTAAGACTGTCATGTTTACACCAGTCACATTTCTTCGTCATCCATTTACGTACCGTAATACTAAATTTGGTATGTGTGACGCTAGCGTAATGGGCGCGAGGGCATCATGAGCGTTGACGGCAGTCATGTTGTTACAAACACGCATGTCATGATTCTCGTGTTAAGGTCTGTCGCTTGTGTTCGCCATGCAATCATGAAATACCATACCAGTTTTTCAACATGCCGTGTGAACGAAACCGCCGCAAGAGCTTCGACACCACGAACTGTAAATCATGACATTCATGACATACATGTCAAGATCTTCACTGTTACGTCTAGTCAAGTATGTTCTTCAGTCTTGTTGTGACATACCAAATTTGGTATCGATACTAATATCGAAACGGCCAGGAGAGCTAAAAGTGGAGGTGGTTATATAGGTAGGTAGATAGATAGATAGATAGATAGATAGATAGATAGATAGATAGATAGATAGATAGATAGATAGATACGCTCAAGGTTGCCGAAGTTCGCTAAGAAATGCTTCGCATTTCATACATAAAAATTAATGAAATAGAAATTAATACAAAAAGTGCCAAAAAATACATGTTTTGCCAACACTGATAACTAAATACCTTTTGGTGCGGCTGAAACATCCCTTGGCAGCTATGTAGTGAGGAGAACGCCCCGTGCCTCTAACCTCCACGACCATTTTATCTTGAATTCTGAGCACGTTATCATAAAACGAGTGAAAATTTCGTATTTAACGAGTTTGTTTGGCACGCAGTTGGCAACATTACAAAAAGTTACCGTTTCCAATAATTATTCTGCTTGAGTGCACACTTACACCTATAAAGAAAGAGCATGGAAACTTTTATATGGACATAATGGGTATAAGCAGAGCTATCATTGTTCGCGTAACACTCGGATGCAAAAAATACGTTTTAAAAAAATAGCTTCATAGGCTTGAACCGAATATTGATGTCATAAAGAAAGGTTTAATACGCCCTAAATACGCCAGGCTTTTAGCTTGTGACCTCTTTTTAAATGGTACAAGGTTTTATTGAGCGAGACAAAACAAACATTTTTTCTGAGCTTTTTTTTTTGTGTCTAGGTGGCTTTCATCTTCCTGTTAAACAGGGGGTCCAGCTCGGCCTATTTAATCACCAACTTGCGTTTGTGCTTTTTTTTCGTCGTATACTTTTCCATGTTTCATGAAGTGTTATTAATTTTTCTTTAATAGGTTGAAACCTAATTCAAGAACTCGAAATTGCATAAAAAGAGCAATGAGTACCAAACGAAAATGCGCGCGTTACAATTACGTAGTGTTAATTGGAAAACAAATTGAGAACGTGAAGTCGCGCAAGCTTTTGAGCGTACTTAGATTACTCAGCATTACGTAATATGTATATGAAAAATATTTATGACAAGATGGTAGGTGTTGTGGAGATGGAAACATTCAGTTTCTGTTTCGGATGCATCTATCTGGGGTTGAAAAATGGTGATAATCTTTGTGGGACTCAAGATAGCTACATAGTTTTTGTCTAGGTATTAATAAATTGGCTGGGAACTCGGAAATGTGAAATCACCGAAAAATATTTTCTTTCGAAAAATGCGTTTTAGAAGGTGGTGACCCTCGTTTAACTGAGCCTGACAGACGTGAAAAGACATGTTTACTTAACACTTCACCCTCCCTTTCCCCACTTCTCTTGCAAACACAAGCGTAATGAAAATAGGCTGTAATAGCAGACAAATAACATACCCCCGCAAATCAGTCTCAGCAGTCTTACTAGAGGAACGAAAAACAGCGACAGGTGCTCTTCTTAGCGTACCCGCCTATTTGTACATTAAAATAAGGGTTGCCTCTTATATAGTCAAAGTGGCTCTTGAGCAAATGACTAGCAGGGATGACCGAAAAGATCATTTCTGTTTGTTACAATTGATAGCTGTTCTTAAAATAATTTTTTGAAATGTGTAATGACAAGAAAAAACCACGAGGTAAATGAATAAAAGATTCATTAGTCATCGTTGCAATTCATAGTGATATTTTTGCACAAGTTCATTAGCAATATATTCAATTGCAACAATGCATGATCCGTCTGCTACAAGGTGGCTTTTATCGAAGGGCAGAGTTATTATGCGATTGTGAACACTTTTCGCCCGAGTGGGCAGATATAGTGGTGATTGCCGTGACAATCACAAATCGATTGGCCAAAATCATCATCACCAATTCAAAGACTGCAGTCAAAGCTTATGACACTGGTACAGCGTCCAAAGAAGCCGGCTATATTCTTCGAGTAGGCAAGAAGAACGTTTCCAATGAAATGAATAAATCAATACGGGCACCACAGTGTAGCCATAGAATGTAGAAAGAAAGAAGAAGCATGCGATCAAGGCACACTGAACGAGACATCGAGCGCAGCCTGCACTCTGTAGTGCATAGCCTGGCTGCGCGTGATCGTCTCCAGAATGTCATAAGACGTCCAAAGAAGGTTTTCACACCCGAGAAAAAGCCGTGAATTGCAAAGGAAGATGTAAAAACCAACGGAGAGCGTGAATGACAATGTAGCCATGCTTCGATATGCTATGCTTTGCACGGCTTACTGCGAGCAATAATGTTTTGCTTGAATTTTTCCAATAATCATTCCTAGAGCGTCCCTCACCTACTTCCTGCAGCGCAACGACGTTCGGCGCATTCGAGCCTTGCAGCTTTAGGGCTGACAAAGCCTGAATTTTTTGCCTCTCCCAAAATGGGTGGTCGGTACCTTGTAGCAGCCATACAATAACCAATGGATATATAAGCGATGCATCAATACGCCTTGAATAAATTATGTAGAACTGTTCCATAGCTTACGCCCACTACCACCACAAATGAAGGATACACATTTTCTGTGCACAAAGAAATTCTTGTAGTTATTGTAGTTATTGTAGTTATTGAGCCGTGGAATAGTGATCATTAGAGGCCGGATTTTCAGGCACTAAAGAAGTGTGTTTTAGGCGCCAAAGAGAGGCAGGTAAAACATAGTTTTAGGCCTTCAAAATGATGATGATAGGCACAGTAAACTTCATCTAAAATTGCATTAATTAAAACGAAGGACGTCGGTGATTTGTATCTACGACAAGAAAAAAAAAGGTATTGTTTAAGGTAGCACAAATGCGCCAAATGTTGAACACAGACATGCATTTCCCACGAGATTCGCACATTACGGATTTTGTTTTATCGTCCAGCATTGTGAGTCTTGTCCACCGTCGAATCACCCCTCTGCTGGGTCTCTTTTGTTTCGTCGTGGCTGAGAAGGGCAGCGCAGAAGCAAATAACCAGACCACTGATACCCCAGAAGAGAGGGACGCCAGGTTTAATCGCGTAATTTCTTTGCTGTCGGTAAACACCTTAGAGGGCCCCTCACTAGGTTTGGACACTTAAAGCTGACAAGCATGATGGATGCACTTGGCACACAGGGTCATGCCTGTTAAGATTTGGAATGCTACGTGTCGCGGAAAAACGAAAAACTTCTACTGAATGCCACTTGCCCTTCTAGCGAGCGTGCGCTCCAAGATTTAGGGAGTGACGTACAGCGAGGATTTATCCTGCTTTTACGTTGCTCCTTCACGTTGACATTAATGCTCTGGCATCCCTCACCATACTCTCTTCATCAGATCTTGGTTAAATGCTGGCTATATCTGAAAAAAAGACACAAAAAATGTCCCGTCTCCTGAATATATCTGGCACTTTAAGTGGTACCTCATTAAGAGCATTGGACGTGAATTATTGTTAAAAGCGTTGAACGTGAACTTGCGGGTTCTCTTGTGAAGCATGAATGAGGAGTACTTCAGTCTGAGCTAACTGCTTCATATCCTTTTGAAAGAAGCGCAAAGACAAAGGGAAAAGAAAGACAGCGATCTTTCTTTTCCCTGAATCCTTACGCTGCTCTTTCAAAATGAGTATCATGAATGAAAGCTGAGAAAAATAAAGCGCGCAAACCTAATGTCAGCTTGCTATTATTTATATTTTTATTTTCAATGGCCGCGAGTTGCTATACACTAATCAGCCCTCGTTTCGCGTCCACCTCGGTAGACCAGTGGCTATAGGGTGATCCGCTGATGACCCGAATGTTGCGAGTTCTATTGTGACGGTGGCAGTCGCATCTAGATGAAGGGGAAAAGCTAGATGCCTGCATACTGCGCGATGTCAGTGCGCGTTAAAGAGCACCAGAGGGTTGACATTTCCGGAGACCTCCACCACAGCATGCCTCATAATCATATTGTGTTTTTTTTTTCACGTAAAACCACACATACGACCAATACTACTTCTAACATTTTATACTACTACTGCCACTACCCCATTTCTCTTGCGTTCATCTTCTCATAATTCCCGCATCGTGACTTCGCCAACCCTGACAGCACTTTGCTTGTGTTTGGTGCGTCGTCTCTGACTGCGGTTTCAGCAAAGCGATGTGATCTATCGTGGTTACAATACATGATTCATCGCAGCCTCTCCAAAAGTACGTCTAGTGACTGATTCATCGCACAGAAATGGGTGATACACAACACAGCACGCCGAAGTGACCCAACATTGATGGCGTACCTGCAAGAGTAGGCTGCGGCATGTCATCTGCGCGTGACCTTGCTTCCACATGATGTTCTTGGTGCGTTTGCATAACGTGATCCTCCAGCCCCGATACCGAGCTCTTCGCGTCATGGTGTTGTGGCTAGCAGCGAATCATTTCGAAATATAACTGTGGTGGAAAGCTTTTATTGGGCATGGAAGAAGTTCTAGTGTCTAACTACAACTTCTCAAGTCACCTAGAGAGGGTTGCTCAGAGAATTAAATTACATGCAAAACAAAAGCTGTGTGCACATCCCATTTTTTTCCTAAGACACCGCTACGATGTCAAATAAAACACGCCTTCATTGACACAGCACACTTCTTCACTTTATAGACTATTTCATTCAGTCATGAAACTAACAATTATTTAGTATAAAATTAAAGCTGATACCATATTCTAAATTTTTAACACAATTACCACTTTGCGAAAAAGACTGTTTAGGTCAATCATTTTTTAATACGAGTTTCACCGTGACATATTAGACATATGAGCTTTAAGCACAGAATAATTGAACGCAATGATAGCACTTCCCGTCATAGTTTTTTTGATAATTTGGTACAGCTGTCATATTTGAGTAATGCCTTAGGACAAAACTTGAAGCCCTGTTCTGTATTTCGTCATGATTGTCACCTAAAGATATGTGCCAAGAAATCACATACGGCAGAAGCGTATTCAGTCAAAGTGTGAATGTATGCTAAGTACTCCGTTCATTGTCAGCATGCCGGCGCCTGCCTCAGGCCCCGCTGTATAAAATATAACGATTTAGCGGCCTTCGCTACCATTGAATCAACATGAGCATTCCAGAAGTGGCCCTCCATGGTTTTTCATTCGTTCACCACCTACCCGCGACTGCACAGAAAAACCAGCTGTTCATCAGTTTCGTCAGGTCACTGGACACCTGTCTGTAGAAGACGGCCTCGGCCATAGACTCCCCTTTTATTTCCCATCTTTAGTTTTCTCTCCTCATTTCCCTGCAGACGCTGGTTCTACTTAGGCCTGCTGAAATAGGGTCTTTTGCACTCCTCATGCTCCTCATCCAATCGCTGGCGTATGGTGACCAGACAGTGCCATTTCACTGTGGTTACCGGTTCTTTTGCGGAAGTTGCTAAAGATAGAGGACATATCACTGTTGTCTTTTCTTCATGAATAACGATTTCAAATCGCACTCGAAAACGAAATTTTGGCTTTAATAGCGCTCACATAGGCGCGTCTTTTAACAGAGGCATTTATAGGCACTTATAGGCATTTAGGCACGGATACCTAAGACAGGTTTTTATAGGCAGTATTAAACACCACTAAAGCCCTTTTTAACCTCTAATTTATGATCGTATATCAGAATTGCACGATATAAACGCAAGGAACAAAATAGGTATTTGCCTCTAATCTGGTCTCTAGTGATCATGCATCTGCGCCCGTGACTCTCGTACGGCGCACATCAGCCGGAGCCGCATGGTCCACGGGCAGGAACGAACGAGCAGTATGGCTGTAATCTTCAGCCAATAAAGCTGCTTTTTCTTTGTTGCTCTCTGCGGGCTCTCTCTGCGAGCTCCTGCCAACCACTGGCCCAGTAGGCTCGACCATGAGCTCATCAAGTGCACCACATATGAGTTTTGTGGAACGAATTGTTTTGTTTCCGGGGGTCCCTAGCCGTAGGGTACCCCCGTTCTTGCGTTTCGAATGCTTTCTTCAGTTCTCAGGTACCAATCAGACACACACTAATAGAAACCAAAAACTTGCCTACGGAAGCAATTTGGGATTACCTGCGCTAAATGATCCAATAGAGAACTTTATTACCGAGTGCGTTGCGCCTTTCAAAACGCTGCGTACAGTTGCTCCAAAAGTATAACGGAGCACGCGAGCTGCGGCCGAGCTATGCGTAGTGAACGCGAGCGAATTGCATGAAAGAAGTGGTTCTTCATTTGCACGCAAAATAGGTGGTGTTGTCTTCTGGCACCTTTCGTATAAAAATAAAGAACCACTTATTTAGTGGCGTGTGCTGGCATTCTGTTTTGCGTAGCTTGGCCGCTGGCGTGCCCCGTTTTACTTTTGGAGCAACTCTACACGGAAGGCCCGCCGAGGTGGTCTACTGGCTAAGGTACTCGGCTGCTGACCCGCAGGTGGCTGGATCGAATCCCGGCTGCGGCGGCTGCATTTCCGATGGCGGCGGAAATGTTGTAGGCCTGTGTGCTGAGATTTGGGTGCACGTTAAACGACCCCAGGTGGTCAAAATTTCCGGAGCCCTCCACTACGGCGTCTC